TTGTATAATGTTACTTGTATGTATGTTTTCAGGGTTGAATATTTGATATTGAATAAGCAGTTGGTATGCTCTTCCCTGAGGAAGACCATTTCTCCAGCTCTTCGCGGTCCTTAGATGCCTATAGTTCTTTGTGTAGGGGTGAAGCCTCGTGGTCTTCCTCACCCCACCCCTATTCACTTAAACATGTTTATTGTTCTCCTTGTTCAGCTCACATTTGTACAGTCATGTTGTCAATACTTTACGAGTGTAACTTCTGACATTAATCAGAGACACACTCACACACCCCCACACCCCCACACCTCCCCAATCCTGTGGCTTTTACGAGCCTTCTATTCCCTCTTCCACAGTATTCCCTGAGCTTTGAGTTCGGGAGTTGTCTTGTAGATGTATCCATTCTGACTGGGCTTCACAACTCTATATTTTGATTGGATGTAGTTTTCAGTATTTGCTTCTATCCATGGCAAAGAGAACTTTCCTTGATGAAAGGGTGAAGACTATACTTATCTGTATACGGGCAAATATTTATAATGCAGTTATATGTTATTCTGGTTTAGTAAAGTGATACTTATGGGTTCTCCTCCAAAATCCATGACTTTGCTAGCCCTGGGTAGCTGGTTAGGTTTCTGTTACCAGACATGATTTCCCTCTTGTTGAGCTGGTCTTAAGTCCAATTATAGAGCTATTGGTTACTGGTAAAGTGTATGTGCTGCTACTGCACCCTTGGGGGAGAACCAAATTTTAACATGAGTTTTGTGTAGCTGAAGTTATCCTGTTCCTGCCCGGCCTCCATGGCCCTATGGCTGCTTGGATCCAGGTAAACACATGGAGGCTTATATTAATTAAAACTGTTCAGCCATTAGCTAGGCTAACTATTGACTAGCTCTTACACTTAAATTAACCCATAATTCTTATTTATGTTTAGCCATGTGGCTTGGTACCTTTTCCCATTTCTGCCTTCACATCTTGCTTCCTCTGTGTCTGACTGGTGACTCCCAACTCAGCCTTCCTGTTCCCAGAATTCTCCTCTCTGCTTACCCCACCTATACTATACTTCTTGCCTGGCTACTGCCCAATCAGTGTTTTATTTATTAACCAATCAGAGCAACACATTCACAGCATACAGAGCGATATCCACAGCAGATTTGTGAGGATAAACCACACCCAAATAATAGCAAAGCATGAAATTTTATATATTTTGGACACATGAGGGTGTTGTGTGACTGTTCCCCAGGAGATGTGCACAAATGGCTATTCACCCTAGATAGGGAATCCACAGCGGATCAAAGAAAAGGTTTCATCCAGGTCAGACTTGGAGAGCCAATGAGCCATTTAGGTTACTTATAGCACAAAGGTGAGGGGTTAATCACAAGAGCGTGAGTGCCCAAAGCATCCCATCCTAGCAATACTAGGGGTAGTATCTCCCACCCCAATAAAGGGTACTCAGTCAACAGGCAGGCCCAAGTCCACGGGGCAAAGGAGCTGTAGAGAGCTGATAAGTGTTAACAGAGCTGCAGAAGCCAAAAGATAGCCCCATACCAGCTGAGTGAAACAACACATGGTCTGCTAAAGTCACATAGCAAATGTTAGGTCTCAAACCAGGGGGCAAATAAGTAACTGAGGTGTCCATTAACATATCAAAGCCACCAGGTTATCCCAGCATCCCTCAGTCTCTACTGGTCACAGAGCCCTGCTGGCTGGCATGGCATGCCATGCCCCTTCCTCTGAACACTACAGCCCAGAAATTTGGCTGGGCTTCCCTCCTCCCAGCTTTTCTGGCCTGCTTACAGCACAGCCATTTTGGCTCTGCCAATCTCTTGGTCCAGGCTGCCCCTCTTGGTCAGTGGCTCCTCTCCTCTCCCATCACTTCGCACATGGCCCAGCTCAGTCTGACCGTATTTACTCTGGACTCTCTCAGATGTCCCTACCTCTGGCTATGCTCTCCCTTTTATCTACAATAAACTTTCTACTCCACCGTGTCTAGGAGCAGTCATGGCCTTCCTTTTATATTTTTATATTTTTTCATCTATCTGGTGCCAAAACCTTGGAATTGGCATAAATGAGTTCCCTTCCAAAAAAACTTGGCCTCTCCAAACCAACCTGCTAATTTGACTCTCCTCGGGTATGGTGAGATCATTTGTTTCTGCTGGCTTCTGCCACCCACAAAATTGGATTCCAAATGCTAGAGTCTCATTCTTCAGCTGCTGCTTCCCTCTGCCTGTTTGGTTTCTACCCACTTGTCTCTCTTCTACTCCTTTTAAGTCTCTCCCTGGGCTCTGGCCTGCTTTGCCCTCCACCTGGGCACGTGTTTCTCTGGCTCCTGCAGCCCGCTCCGCCTCTGGCCTGCTACACCCTTGTGAATAACTCCCTTTTCTCTTGCTCTCTCCCCTCTCCACCTCTACTGGGTAAGTGTCCCCTGAGCTGCCTGCTTTGCTTACTGTTACTGCAGAAGCCACACCACTACGCCAGGAAGCTCCCCTCCCCCTCGGTGGGCTCCAGTCATAAAGACAAGGGATGCCTTTCCTTTGTGATTTGGAGCATTTTTCTCTCTGACAAGTTTCCCATTCATCTTGGGGATGCCCCAGGGGAAATTCTTGACACAACATCACTTTATCCACCTCAGCTCAGCTAGCCTGCCTGTAAGAACTGCAGTCCTGTTGACCGTCCCTCTCTGGTATCTCTCAGCTCCCACCTCTGGTCCCACAGCTTCTGTTCTCAGCTCCCTCCTAAAGATTCCTCTCTGGGCTCAGAGTTGCCTGCTCTCTCTCCCTTAGCCCCCCCCCCCCCCCCCCCCCCCCGTGGAGTTCCTGCTGCAGCTTCTCTAAGTCTGAGCCACTGTGTGCTCTTTTTCAGCTCCTTTGTGAAGCTTATAGAATTCCTTCCAGAGGGTTTCACAACCGCCCCCCCCCCCAAACTACAAACAGCTTGGCCTCAGTACAGATCAATGGCCATAACTAGCTCACTGGGTTTCCAAATTCTCACAAATTGTACCAACAGTCACTGCACCAATAGATGACCCCCAAATCCCTTATATCTAAACTTGCTCTGCTCCACACTTCCAAAAGTCTCTTATCTCCACTTTCAACCCTTAAAAATCTTTTATCTCTATGAGTTCTTTGCTCTCTGCTCTCAAAAAAAAATCTCTTAAGACTATACTGTAAACTTTATCTCAGGATTTCTAAATTCACTGGGCATGGTTAAAAAAAAATCTGTAAAATCTGTAACAAAATTTGGTTTAAAACTTATAACAAAAGGCTTATAATTTAAAAAAATCTAATCTTAATTTGCTACAACATATTACATATGTGATTCAACTCTTGTTTAGATATACTGCACACATAACTTGGAATCAACTTTTGTTTAAAAACGGATATTCTAAATAATAACCATGTGGTTGGGAGCCACCTTTCCTAAGGTTAAAGGGTACATGTGGATTCCCCATCTTAAGATGACTGCATGGTATAAAACAAATAACCAACACCTATATAACTTTTCAGTTCTACCGAGCACTCTCTGCCTTTCAGACTGAGGGAGTGAAAACAGGCCTCCGAAATATTTTGGATCGATAGGAATTTTTGTATGATGATAATTCTTGTTCGTTTGAGACAGGGTTTCTCTGTGTAGCTCTAGAGCCTGTCCTGAAACTCACTCTGTAGACCAGGCTGGCCTCAAACTCACAGAGATCTGCCTGCCTCTGCCTCCCAAGTGCTGGGATTAAAGGCATGTGCCATGTTCTACTGTGGAATAATGCTTTTGTACATTGGTTTAACAAAATGCTGATCAGCCAGTAGCCAGGCAGGAAGTATAGGTGGGATAAGCAGACAAGGAGAATTCTGGGAAGAGGAAGGCTGAGTCAGGAGATGCCAGGCTGCTGTCCAGGGAGCAGCATGTAATGGCACACAGGTAAAGCCATGGAACACATGGAGACATATAGATTAACAGAAATGGGTTGAGTTTAAGTGTAAAAGCTAGTCAGTAGGAAGCCTGAGCTAATAGTCGAGCAGTTTTAATTAATATAAGCCTCTGTGTGTTTACTTGGGTCTGAGCAGCTGCAGACCTAGTGGGACACAGGAAAACTTCAGCTACAGTGTTCACTCTGGACTCCCCTAGAAGTCCTTGCCTCCAGCTATGTGCTCCCTGATATCTACAATAAATTTTCTCCTCTGCCATACCTAGGGGCAGTCATATCCTTTTTTTATTTCATTTCATCATTCAGTAACTGGGAACAAACAGAAACTTTCTCAGTTTCCTATGTCTACCTCTGCACAGACAGAGACTGTGAACTTCTGGCTCAGCATTCTCTTTCCTGACCAGGATTGGCACCTCTTTTTTGATTGCTCATATTTTACAATGCATTTGCATACCTATATTCAGTCTATCAGGGTCAGGATGATGCCCTGACACCTCTTTATATTCGTACATTCTAGGGCTGCAGATCAGAGCAGCGGCAGAAGCGGAGTGGGGAGGAAGAGACAGAAAACTACCTTCTACACTCACGTAGACAGACTCATTGAAAGTTCTCATTAAAGGGTCTTTGTACTTGAGGCTTTTTGGGACAGACTTGAGAATTTGACCAGTGACTGCAAGCATGGGGACTTCTTCCTGCCTTAGCCTCTAAGATGCAGCACTCAGCTGGGCTGCAGCTAGATCTGGCATCCAAAACCCACAGCCTCCAGAGACTAAGATGCCAGCCTTTGAGATCTCCTGGAGACAGAGGCTTGTTGTTCCTACTGCACCCATCAGGTGCCTGCAGACTTGCTCTGAAAGACTGCTCATGCTTGCCACCCCAAAACCCTCTCAGAACATCTGGTCTATAACACCTGGAGCTGTACCTCTGAGAGCTGTTAGGGCTCCTGGCTAGCACCCTGCTGCTATTGAAGTCCAAACCTGATTTGTACAAATTGTCAACACTTCACAGGGCAATCTGTCTACAGTAGCTTTACCCTTAAACAGTTGTTAGTCCTAAAGTGACAATAAAGTAACCTCCTGTCTGTTCTCCACAGGGCTTACCCAGGAGTACAGTGGGAAAAGAACCACTGACTGCCTCATCATGGATGATGACTCACAAAAGCTGCATCCCTGCAGCTCCCTGCAGGACTTTCCTGCAGCTCAGCTGGTGCTGGGGAGTCCTCTTTCTCCAGCAGTTGCTCAACTGTGAATCTTGCAAGTTTTTGATGCTTCCTGAGGATTTCCTGTGTTGTTTACTTCCTCAGTCTCATGAGCCTTCTCCTAGGTACTCCCATGAACCTACTGCTGCCCAGGTACCCAACAGAAACTTTCACTATAATATATAAAAGCCATGTTTTCAACATACAAACTTTCATTATTTATTCACCCGATCGATCATCACTGCAGAGGATAACAGGGTAAGAATAAAATGTTTTTCACTGTAAGAGTTTGGGGAAAGGTTAATTTTTTTTCTTTAGAGTTTTAAGACCCAAGGTCACAAACACAAGGCAACACCAGAAACGTTCTGATAAATACATGCTTGTAATCAGCTTGTCTAACATTTTCACATTGTATTGTTTGGGTTACGATCTCATTTGCTAGTGTATTCAGGTCTATAACTGACCTAAACTGGCTTCAAGCTTGCAGTGAACCTCTTGTTTCAGCTTCCTGAGTACAGAGCCCCACAGTCTTAAGCCACCACACTCAGCATTCCAGTCAAATTTCTAACTTAATTATAATTATATGCTGAAAATGTTTCTAAAATATCAACTACAATAATTGCTGAATTAAAACTCAATGCCTAAGCAATGACCAAGACCCTGAAGGCCTGTGTTGCATTGGTAGCTTTGTAAAATATAATAACTACGTCTGAAAGAAAATGTTATTGGGTCAAATCAGCTGACATTCAAATCCATGTTAGGCCTCTTTGTCTAAACTTGGAAATGGCATATAACTTTTCTGATATTCCGTCCTCTCTTTTGCAAAACTTGGTTAACAATAAAATACCTTACACAATCCATCAAGTATAAGCAAGATCATATAGAGCTATAGAGCCCAAAACAGTGCATAAGTTTTTGGGGTTTTTTTGTATTTTTTTTGGTTTTTCGAGACAGGGTTTCTCTGTGTAGTTTTGGTGCCTGTCCTGGATCTCACTCTGTAGACCAGGCTGACTTCAAACTCTCTGCTTCCGGAGTGCTGGGATTAAAGGCATGAGTCACCACTGTCTGGCTTCAGTAAGTTTGGTAAGGGAAGGGAATTGAGCCAGATTATGAAGGGTATCAGCTTATTGCCCTAACTTCAGAAGGCTCTTTGGAAAAGAAAATTCTCTTAGGTTGGTGACTAAATTTTTCCTTCCTGTTAGTCCAGATGTGGTAGCTGAAGACACACATTACATTCTCGCTGGCAAAGTGCCTCTTCAAATTAAAGTCTGACTTGTTGCTTCATAGTTCGCTGCCATCTTTCAAAGGTAAAAGAATGTCATGTCAAGTTCCAGGAAGCTGAAGAAGGAGACAGACAATGGAATCGCCAACAAGATTGGCTCTGCAGTTGATTTAGACACAGCACAAAGCTTAGAGCGGTCCCAAATGTATTATACCTGCCCTTTTCTGAGCATGTGATATTAATATTTTTAAACAAAGCATTATAGGTTTTTATTATATATTGTTGAGTTGTTTAGCAAAGTTATGAATGGCTGCCTTGTGTTTTTGTGTCTTTATGACATTCAGAATACTTAGATATAGACATGAATATTGATATAAACACAGAGAGACACTTGCAATTTTGTTTTATAATCTCTTAAATAGGTATAACTGTAAGTATTATGCTATTATACATTGTAAAAATTGATTTACTCTGGCTTATATTGAATTGGTTCATGTTTACCATTTAAACATCTGTATTCAGTTCATAATCTAAATAATTTTATGAGTAGAGTCTGGAAAATAATATCATTCCCTATTCAGTCTCCAACTACACAGAAAGTATTAGTTTGTTTATGGAAGTATTAATATATCTTAGAGGTAAATATATTAAAATTAGGTATTTGGTGAGCATTACATGTGAAGGTTTTCTTTAGGCCAACCAGAATTGGTGTTATTACTCCCTCAATGCAGTCTAAACTATCCTCCATCTACAACTTAGTTATGATATATTGATGAGTTAAGAAAACTAAACATGTAGAAAAATGTATTCATACAAAGCAGTGTAGAAGAATAGAGGAATGAATGTATTGTAAGCCCCACGGGAGGCCACCCCTAAATAAAATCAGAAATTCGTATGAGTACAGAATCTTTGCACAGGGTTGTGGATCTATGTATTAATAAATTGGCACAGAATATTAAAGCAAAGGTTTAAATTCTAAAGAAAGAGACCTGAATGTAAAAGAATAGTTCACAACACAAATGTGTTCAAAATACAGTTATTGAATATTTATAAATTATTTTAAAATAGTCTAAATATCAAGTTGTAGTAAAATAGCCTATGGGATGTTACATAGCTATCTAAAGTATGTGTTTGTGTGTTTGCGGTATTTGGAATAGATAGAGCTCAGGGTTTTGTACATGTTCAGCAAGTACTCTACACACTCTACACTGAGCTGTCCTTGGCTTCAATAGGATGGATTTGATTTAAAGTTAAAAACTTACCAACTATTTTATAATGGAAAAAAGTAAATTCCCTGCTTCATTAACTATCTGCCATTATATTTTACATGTCCAGCTCATCATGCCCTTGGTATCAGCTAGGAAAACAAAAATATGCTAGATATTCTAAGTTCTAGGGCTGGGTGATGGCGTTTGGAATCATTTCTTGTCCTCTGTGTAATATCAATGCTGAATTGATCATAAGAGGAACTGAATATCAACAGAAAGAAGATTCTTTCCCCACCCTCTACTTAACTAATCTTTTCCATTTTACACTTTCCTGGCAAAACCTAGGACTCTTCTGGAAATTAAGAAACTGTGTAGTCCCAGCCAGAGAGTCCTGAAAAAGGATAAGGAAGGGTGGATTTGGAAATAGAAGATGACACCTTCACAGAAACTGCAGGCTTATTCTGATTAAGTATAACGACGCACATGAGAATGACGCACATGAGGAGGAGCTCAAAGCCACAGGTCTTAGAGGAACAGTATTGAGACACAGCAGCTTTTACTAATGATTTTTGTTAATTTAATTACCAAAGGTAAAATGCTTCTTAATGAGATGAATTGGATATAAATAAATGATGTTAAACTTTTAACATGTATCATTTGTTTTTATTAAAGCGATTCAGCCATCACCATTCTACTCCAACAGGTATTTTATTATAGAAACTAATTTAAATGCACATGATAAACGAATTGTGTTGAAAATTCCATTTTTCTTCAATTCTAACCTCTTGATCTTAATTAGCTTCTCCACTTCTGTTACCATAGAAACCAGCAAGACAATCAATAAGATGCAATGGTAGCAAGGTACAAGCAGAAGCATTCTCCAAGTTCAGCAACAACATTTATTTTAAATCATGGGACAAATTAGTATTTGCAATTAGATTAGAGGTAATATGGTTCAAGATTCAAAATGGGAAATGCAGTCAAATGGTAAACAAAGATGATAAACTTTCCCAGGGTGCTCCTGTTTTCTGCAGTCTACTGCAAAAAAGAGTAATGTCTAGAAAATTGAAGATCATAATTTCACATGGCAATTCTTTTTTTAAATAAATGCATCATGTTCTATTCTTTCACCCCACAAGCATTTTCCCACAGCCAAGTAAAAGTACATTAACAAGTCTATAAAGACGATGATATAAATGCCCCATCCTTTGAATGAAAGACCTGCCTCATTCTGACCGCTTCTTTCCCTATAGACTGAAGCCTGGTGTCTATACACAGTTCCTCATTCAAGACACAAGTCAAGGCAAACTTCTCCTGAGGGTTGCCCTTGACTGATGAACCTGACAAACACCAACTGTGTTTCATTCCATTAGTGACAGACTGAATCCGATGCAGTGCACATGAATTGACAGTACTATGCCTGCATTCCAGTCTGAGTGCCCTGAAAATGTTCAATTTCCGATGCTCTGCATCTGAGTGTGGTGGCATCGCTATGCCACCCTCACTTCTGATACTTGCTATAAGAAGCATATAGCAGCCGGGCGGTGGTGGCGCACGCCTTTAATCCCAGCACTCGGGAGGCAGAGCCAGGCGGATCTCTGTGAGTTCGAGGCCAGCCTGGGCTACCAAGTGAGTTCCAGGAGAGGCGCAAAGCTACACAGAGAAACCCTGTCTCGAAAAACCAAAAAAAAAAAAAAAAAAGAAGCATATAGCAAACAGTGGTTGGCAAAAAAGAAAAGCAAGCACTGTTTATGTACGTTTTGCTTAGAAATAGAGGAGAGTGGGTTCAAGGTTATGCCTACAATTTCACTTCAGCATCTCATGCACTTCAGTGTGATTTTGTTAATGCAGAGCAGTTAAGAGCTTCTGGCTCGGGGCTGGAGAGATGGCTGGGGCTGGAGAGATGGCTCAAGAGGTTAAGAGCACTGGCTGTTCTTCCAGAGGTCCTGAGTTCAATCCCCAGCAACCACATGGTGGCTCACAACCATCTGTAATGAGATCTGGCTCCCTCTTCTGGCCTGAAGGGATATATGCAAGCAGAACACTGTATACATAATAAATAAATAAATAAATAAATAAATAAATAAATAAATAAATAAATAAATAAAAAAACCCAATTAAAAAAAAAAAAAAAAGGGGTTGGGGATTTAGCTCAGTGGTAGAGCGCTTGCCTAGCAAGCGCAAGGCCCTGGGTTCGGTCCTCAGCTCTGGAAAAAAAAAAAAAAAAAAAAAAGCTTCTGGCTCGGTAACTGTTGACTATGAAAACTTTATTCCTCCTGGATATTTTGGAGAAAAATAATTGTGAGGATAACTGGTACAATGCATTCTTATCCTTCCCCTTTGAACTTTCCTGTCTGCTGTTGTACCCAAGACATAGATAAAGCTGAACAAAGTCTCTTCAGTTGTACCAAGAAAATCCTCAAGTACTGTGTCTCCAAATACATAACATGGATTTCTCATTTTCCTCTATGGTGAAGTTTAATTGACTTAATGTGTATGTGGTTATTTTAAGATATTTTCACATTATGAATACAAATTTTATGTTTAACATACAGGTAAAAGAGGGAAAAAGTTACAAAATAATTAGGTAAACCAACTGAGAAGTGTAGTGGGAAGTTTTTCTGTGTCCCACCTAGCCCACAGTCAGGGCAAATCTCTCACCCACAGTCCTGCAGCCTTTTATAAAATAATCACATAAAGGCTTAATATTAATTATAACTGCTTGGCCATTAGCTCAGGCTTATTACTGACTAGCTATTACATTTAAATTAACCCATATTTCTTATTTATGTTTAGCCATGTTGCTTGGTACCCTTTTCTGAGTTCTGCCTTCACATCTTGCTTCCTCTGTATCTATTGGTGACTCCTGACTCAGCCTTCCTGTTCCTAGAATTCTCCTTGTTTGTTCACCCCACCTATACTTCCTGCCTGGCTACTGGCCAATCAGTGTTTTATTAAACCAGTGTACAAGAGCATTATCCCACAGCAGAGAAGTCTAATAAAGTATGGTGAATACTAGGAATAAAGTTTGTGTTCAGGTTACCTTTTACAATATGATCTCTTTCTTATCATATGTAGATACAAATCTTTATCTAATGTAGATACAAATCCAGCATGCTAGGGAAGATTCTATACAAATTTGGTGTACAGTATAAGATCATATATTGCACTGTTATTTTTCTCATCAATTTTATAGAAACAGAAAAACTAGTACTCACTTCATTCTGAGCACTAATGAATTTTGACATGTGAGGTAGATATAAAATTGCTCAATTTCCCAGCTCCAGCCATGTTCAGTGTTGTTTTTCATTAGCTCTCTTAGAATCTAACACTTTGAACTTCATTACCTGAAGTGACACCATCAAGCATTGTAATATTTTCCATTTTTCCTTTTTAACATAAATCCTTGCTTTATACTGTATCACTGCTCATCAATTCTTTGTTTCCCTGATGCATACATCCATGCTGTTCTGCTCTCTTAAATTTGAACATGAAACATATAGTATGAACAAGCTGATGAAGTCCGAGGGAAAATGATGCCTATCACTTCAGGGCAGTCAAATATTTTACAGCTTATCTTTTTGCTACAATTGCAGTGCCTTGGGTTGTTACTCCTTCCTTGACTTGGGTTCTAGAGTACCAATAGTGACAGTGTAGAAAAGATCACTCATCTATCCTATCATGAACATAAAATGTAAGCATGACATAAATCTTATCAATAAACTAAGACCCCACTAATTTTTAGGTAAAGTTTAATCTCTGCATGCCAGATTTCTTTGTTCTTATATGGATTGTGGCTGTTTTTAGCTATATGTATAGTGTTGAGTAGTTGTAACAGATACTGTTAGGTCCACAGTAATATTTGTCATCTACTCCTATTCAGGAGTTGTTTTGGACTCAGCTTTTAGTCACTGAGATAGATAATCAGCCATTCCTTATTGGAGCTCAGTGAGACCATTCTTTCACTGATAAGCTTTTGTCTTTGAATTTTGTTATAGACTTAACAACAGGCATGAATTCCAAGAAGATTTAGGGTTTTTTTTTATTTTTTTTATTTTATTTTTTATCTTCAGTACTGTATGAGAGCAAAAAGGACCTGACTGGAGACAGAGCCTCCAACGAAGAGAGCAAGGCACAGAGCTAAGGGGCAGGTCCAGCTCAGTCTTAACCGGCAGAATCACAAGACCCTTGGTGAGAGCACAGTGCTTGGCCATCTAGACGGCAGCTAAGATTAGAGGCAACAGGATGAGTAACTTTCATGTGTGAGATCAGTGTAGGAGGCCTCTAACCGTGGCATAATTCTGGTCTTCAGACTGAAGGTAGCCATAGACAGAGCAAATTTGAAAGCTCCTGCATAACACAGCAGCATTCTGAGCACATCCTGGAAATTTTAGGATGAATCTGTTTAGGAGTAAGACATGAGACCTAAATGAGGAAGCCAGTTGTAGAGACTGAGCTGACAGGGTGTGGCAGTGACGAATAAGTACTTGCAGACAAATGGAGAGGGATTTGGGAAAGAAGGGAAAAGCAACAGTCCCAGCTAATTCTATGAGCATTAGACACTCACTGTCCGTGGAAAACAACACAACAGACAGGCTGTCTCCAGTGAGTCTCAAGAGTCACCTTAATTTTCAGTAACATTGCTTGTGGTAAGAGAAGAAATGATACAGAGGCAGCTGATTCGTGACTGTGTGAGCCAAGACTGGTGAGGTCAAGAATGAGAAGAGAGGTCAGTGCAGGACTCAGTTAAACCGTACGGGGAAAGGTACAGCAACTCGTTTCCTCCCTCTCTCCTATCCAACTGTGTTCATGTCCTGATAATCATCTTAGTGTTTTTACACATTCTTATACTCTCCAGGCCTCCAGCCCTTGGTTGGTTTGATTTATTTCTTAAGTAACCTAAATTCTGGAGTAAGTCATTTCATGTATGTAAGGTCAAGCTCTCTTTAACCTGTGCCCTCCAATCGTTCAACTGAAAATTGATTTAGATCCTTAAATTATACTCTCCATACTTGGTTTTTATTTTTTGGTGTTTTTTTTTTTTTTTTTTAGTCTTGCTTTAGAAACTCACTAAACAGTGATGATTAGATCCACTACAAATGCATTATCTCTAACTTGGCAGAATGCAAAAAGCAAGTCAGCAATTCTTTAGTCTTTTCTAATTGACTTCCAATTATAATTCCGGCATTATAGTTCTAACAGCTGTTCCAAACTCTCTTCAAGCTCCAATTACAACCTATTCATTCATTCAATAAATAAAATTTTTAGCATTTACTATACACTAGGCTCTCTGTTAGCTATTTGGGAGACAACAGTGAGAAACATAGGGATAACCCTTTGACTTCATGAAGTTTATGATCCAATAGATAAAAAGAAACGGATAAGGCACATTATTATTAGGGTCATGACAGGGTGAGTACAGGTATTCAAATTATTATCAAAATTCATCTTTTCTCATGAGTTTTACTTGCCCAGGTTAAATACTAGAATAATTTTTCCATGTTCTCCAGAAACCTGGATTTTATGCCTGTAACCAGTACCCACTATCTGTAGAGACAGACATGTCAATT